GGCGGCTCGGATTCGAAGGCTAGGCTGGCAGATGGTCTAGTCTGGCGGACTTCCTCTTACTCTGACAACGGACACTACTCCGCGTTGGCTGCTTCTCACTTCAACACTTCCGTCTATCAAATCGTCTGATTCAAACTTCTAGTCTACTATATTGCCCGAGAGTGGGGGGGATAGTCTACTGGCTAGCTACCGGGAAAACCGAGTCTCTTTATACAAACCGCCGGGCAACAAAAGGAGATATAAGGAAAGTGTCCGGAGAACAATGTGGGTAATGATCGTGGGGCAGCCAATGGCTGCCGGGGTATTCTGAACCGTGGGTATATTGTCTCAGTCAGCGGGCAACACCATGTGCCCGGGCTGTGTGCCAAGAGGGTTGTCAAGTCACCCGGGGAATTATCTTCCCGGGGACAACCTTCCCGCTCGTCTTTCTGCTGGCGGGGAGAGCAGGGGTTTTACCCGCTGGAATCCTCCCCGGCCAGTGTCTTCTAGTTCGTCTGTTCTGTCTGGTTCTCCGGGCAGTGCTTGTCTCCTCTCGAAGTTGAGCGGCCGGGTAAAGTAACTCCAGTCTCCCGCCGGGGAATTGTTATCCCGTTGATCGTCGATCCCCGCGTGTGGGCGTCTGATGGAGCGCCCGAGTTCCCCGCTGGCTTATTAGGCCTTCCTGGGACTAAGATCCGCCGGGTAATTCTATTCCCCGGGGGAATCTTATCTTCTGAGATCGTCCGGTAATCTTCACCAACATGTCGTCCGGGGAGGACGACTCGCTCTAAGATAGTAGTTCCTCTTTGTTAGCCTCAAGTACTCAAACGTTCGGTGGTTAGCCGCCCATCTGAGCCGGCCGGTTAGGTGCTTCAAAAGCCCCGCTGGGCTAGAGGCCCAGCGGTGAATTCTTATCACTCGTGTTTGCCCGGACGCTTTCGACCGTCAGCGGCGAAATATACCGTCCCGAGGAGGACTTATATTCTATTGCTTCGCCCTACATTGCCCGCCGATAGGTGTCTTAAGAATGCGAAAACCAACGGTTTTCACCGGTGGCTCGTCATCCACCATATCACCGGTACTGCAAGAACCCCATCCTCGCACATTTCCGCCACCTTCTTGTCACAGCCATTTTTCACCTCCCCTTCCTGGTATTGACGGTAAACCACCCAGCGCCAGTTGACCGTCACTGGTTCCGCAAGCACAGCAGCAGAAGCTTCACCAAAGAACGGGGCGACACCCGGGTTCAGTCGTCTTTTGTTTCTGTGGGCCCGCAACAGAATCTATAGAAAGGTGAGTCCCATTTCTTTTTTTTGGGGAAGGGAATTGACGAATATTACCAGCAAATGCTCCGCGGTGAGCCCTTCGAGACCAGTCTCGCTTTTGTGCAACTCCCTGGTATTCAGTGAGTAAAGGAGTGCAGTTGCCAGGTAATTCCGTACATGTACTCTCGTGTTAGAGCGACACGGGAAAACACCGGTGCCATGGTGGTGAAGGTGAAGGTGCAATGGAATCTTTTCTTCCCATCATTTTAAGTTGATCAGAGTCATTTTGGGCATATGCTAGCAACGGTATCGCCTACACTGTAACAACGCCTTGGCACTTTTTTGCTACAGCTACAGAGCCTTATAACTACCCCTTGCTTTTGCCAAATCTTTTCATCAAGGCTGTCCACTCGCCGCCGGGGTTAGACCCACAATCCACAGCCGTCTGCAAAAGTTTTTTCCCCTCAGTGCTGCTCTTCATTTTCGTCCACGCATTCCAATGAGAGTAGAAGGTACCATGAACAAACCGATTTTTGAACACGGCGATGAAGTTGTTTTTAACCGTATCACGCTCAGCTTCCATAGCGCTGAAACCACCATCCATATCATGAGCATAGTCACGAGGGAAGCCTTTGACCGGCTGGGGCGCCTGCTGGGGCTCCTGCCGGCGCAATCTGTGTACGTCTCAGAAGTGTCATCAAAGATGAGAAGATAACTGTCTTACGGAGAGGAACTGGGCTGAGATGAAGTGTTATCTACGATCTCGATAACACTGTCGTCTGTCTGTATCAGTGGACGCAATGGAACTGGATGAAAAATGAGGAAAGTTGGCGAAGAGGAAGAGGAATCATACATTGCGGCCGAAGATTTGACAGGCGACGGAGATGGTGACGGTGTAGGTGTTGGTGAGGTGGTTGGCTCGTCTGCAAAGTCGATTGGGCGAATAAAAGGACGTGGACTGTATGGCACCGAATAAGCGAAGGGCAAGTAATAAGCGGAGATCGAAGACATTACCCATTCAATCGCATGCGGGTGGGTGTAGGACCATCTTCGCTGTTAGACAAGCGCCTCTTACTTACAGGACCTCCCACGCAATTTTTGACCTTCGGGGAGCGCATGTACACAACAGAATTACCCTTGATCTCCATGGCTACATCAGTGAGAAGCCACCGGTTACCGTCCCAGTAACTGTAGTACACGCAGTTCCTCAATTCCACCAAGTCAGCGATGGGCGGACAATCCTTGGGATGGAACATGGGATATGCAGGCGCTGCAACAATCAGCGCAATGGGCTCCTGCCCGTCCTGGATGGAGATCTGAGCAGGGCCAAATGTGTTGTGTATTCACAGAACTCACCACGATCCACCACTGGATGTTTATGGAGTTGATGTTCTGCTTTCGATAAACCTCCCGCTGAAACCGGTCTGTACCGGTACCGCCAACGTTGGGGTCGTGTTCGTTGTTGAGAAGCTTGCGGGCAAAGGTAGGATCGATGCTCTTGCCCATTGGTCGCTCAAAAGTGAAAGCAACGGTAGTGGAAGAGGAGGAGGAAGATGTGGGGTTGGGTGCCGTTGGGGTCCGAGAAACGACGGTGCCAGCATCTAGGACAGCGACGGCAGGCTCATTGTGGTGAGGAGCAGGGCAATACTTGCCACTAGTCTGACAGCACTTTGCACACCAGAGCAAAACACATGCCAGGTTTCGAAACCCATTGCGGTGTCCGCGGTGGCTGCAAGTCGGGTTGGGGCACGGCACACGAGTAGCTCGTTGCCGGCCCGGGGAAGGTGTTGACAGGAGAGAGCTGGTGGAGAGAGTAGGCCCATCCGGAGTGGGAAAATCCTGATTTTGGGACATGATCCGACGTTGAGCTCGTGGAGCAGCGTTTTTGACACGTGGGACACGCCGAGGGATGTCGTCGCGCCAGCGGAAGAAGGTGCAACAGGGCTGGTCGTCGTACTCTTTGTAATTGCACTAATATGTGTTGGCAGCGTTTGGGAGGAAGAAGAGAAAAAAACGGTACCTCTTGGTACCAATAACCTTTGTTGCGCGGGGTGTAATGCCCCGTCGAGCAGATAGGCTGTGTGATGAAGGTGAGGCCACACTCCGGACACCGCTCGTCTGAGAGCTTGGAGGAAAAACGGAAGAATGCGCGGGAGATATTGAAAAAAGAGCGTCCGCGGAGGGCCATAGGTCAACAAGCTGAAGGCAGCGGAAGACAGCCGAACTACCTAGTTGCTGACCAACACATAGCGAGGGTTCATAGAGACGATTCAGCTACAGCGAAAGAGAGTGAGCCAGATTGAGGTCAGAGTGGAACTTGAAGGCGACGGCAGCAAAGATAAAATAGATCAAGGGTTGTCGCCGTGATGATTTGAGCAGAGCCAAATGCCTAGAATTATCCGGGTGCAGTGAAAGGGTCGCACGATTGAGGTTGTAGTATTATGTCTGAAGCGAAGGGTCTCAGGCGATATCGTTTGAGCGAATGCACGCCAGCCATGCAGGTGAAGCGGTTTCGTTTGAGCCATCTGGCTCCGGTAGTATGATTGCGCCAGTCCAGCCGAATTAGTTCAGTTGCGGTGTTCTATGCGAATCGATATCGATTCACACATAGGGCTACAGTCAACTCGCTGGAAGCCAAAGGGCGAATCGATTCAGCTACAGCTTTAGATGCGTAAACTATTCGCTACGGTTGTCCAGTCCATTGTCCATGGACATCGATCAAGTTCTGATCCTCATACTCTAATAGCTCTCCGAAGTTCTGACTCATGCTCTCTCCCAATGAAAAATATTAACAAAAGCAGCCGACACTGGCATGATTCGAACATGCGCCCAACAAGTGGAACAGATGAAAGCTATTCTACGAAACTGATTCGAATCTGTCGCGTTAACCACTCCGCCACAGTGCCCATATTGAGCGGTGCAAATCTGAGGTAGTAGTTCCAGGTAGTTCCACGGCGTTATTTCAATTTGCTCTGGGCCAGACGTTGGCCAGATGAGTCGAGGTCACGGGGCCGGGGCGGCGTTTTTTGATGGCGGTGCATTGGGTAGAAGATTTGCTTTATGTCCTCTCCAGTGTCGTCGCTGACGGCGTCGCGGTCGTCGTCGCCCGAGCCGCCGGTGCAGCCAGACCACTTCTATGGCACAGACCCGCTTCATCTGCCGCCGTCGCCCAATTCCGAGGGCAAAACATATCTGTCACCCGACGACGACCCCCTAGCCCACCGCGGCATCCCCGTCTTCAAGCCCAGCATGCAAGAATTCGCCGACTTTGAGGGGTACATGAACCGGGTCGAGGCATGGGGCCGGCGGTCGGGCATTGTCAAGGTGGTGCCACCGAAAGAATGGACCGATGCGCTGCCCGACGTCAAGCCACAGCTGGCGGGGGTCAAGATCAAGAGTCCCATCGAGCAGTTCATGCGCGGAAGGGCTGGTCTTTTCCGACAGGAGAACGTGGAGAAGCGCAAACTCATGAGCGTGCGCGAGTGGGCCGAGCTCTGTGCAAAGGACGAGTTCCGTGCACCCGGCAAAGACCAGGTTGGACTGCACAACAACCCCAGCGCCCAAATATCCCTGCGCAGCCGCAAGAAAAAGCCAAAGGGATCAGATCCCAAGTACGACCAGCAGGACCTCCCGAAGCCTGAAGCCATCGCGGAGGACGTCGCAATGGCTTCCCCGCCGAACAGCGCCTCTCCAGACCCCGAGGACGCAAAGCCCGACGCCACCAAGACCCGCAACCGCCGTGTCGAGCGCGCGGACAAAGACGCGTCATTTATTGAGACATTCACTCCACATACCGACTGGCTTCCGCCCGACACCGCCGCGACCGACTACACTCCGGAATTCTGCTCCAAGCTAGAGCGCGCATTCTGGCGCAATTGTGGCCTCGGAAAGCCTGCGTGGTACGGCGCGGACACGATGGGTGCGTGTCTGCCTCCATCATCCATCGTTGTACTAATTTGAGTTGCTATATCAGGCTCCCTCTACACCGACGCGACCACTGCCTGGAACGTCGCCCACCTCCCCTCGACCCTCTCCCGACTTCTGCCTTCATCACAAGGCCTCCCCGGCGTGAATACGCCCTACCTCTACTTTGGCATGTGGCGTGCCACATTCGCCTGGCACGTTGAAGACATGGACCTTTTTTCCATAAACTACATCCACTTTGGTGCACCCAAATTCTGGTACGCCGTTCCACAGGGGCGGGCTGGTGCTCTGGAGGACACCATGCGAGGCGCGTCGCGTCCTCTCCGTGTCCGATCTTCGATTGATCCCTTCCTTTCTAGGCTACTTTCCCAAAGATACCTCACAATGCCCGCAATTCCTCAGGCACAAATCTTTCCTTGCCTCCCCTACGCTCCTAGCTCAATCCGCCGTGCGCCCGAACCACCTCGTCCAGCACGCGGGCGAGTTTGTCATCACCTACCCACGCGGCTATCACGCGGGCTTCAACCTCGGGCTCAACTGTGCCGAGAGCGTGAACTTCGCTTTAGACAGCTGGCTTGACGAGGGGCGCAAAGCAGCTGTGTGCAAGTGCGTCGAAGACAGCGTGCGCATTGACGTTGACCAGCTGCTCGAGGACCGGCGCATCGATGAGCTCGAAAAGACTGACCCCGCGGCGGCGGCGGCGGCGCGCGCAGCCCGCGATGGCGATGACGGTAACTGGGAGGAGCCAGGCGTTGGGGTTACAGAACTCTCCGCTTTCGGGGAAGAGTTAAACCCCAAACCGAAACCCAGGCCCGGTGCCACGGACGGGCAACCTGCGAAGCGCAGTCCGCGCAAACGCAAGCCGACTGCACCGTTTGACCCAGAAGGTGCCCCAAAGCGCGCGCGCACGACGTCCACCTCCACGTCTGCACACTCCCATTCGCACACTGGGCACAAGGTTGTCATCCCTCCGTCTCACCCTCCTTCCTCCCATTCTTCCTCCTCCTCTGCTCACGCACACCCCGCCCAACGGCTCACTCTCAAACTCGGCCCGCGTCCCGTCCCTTCAGCCGAGACCTTCCCCTGCTGCCTCTGCGTCTCTTCTTCAATCACCGATCTCGCGCGCGTGCATGACCTCCCGCCTGCATGGCGCGAGATCGCTCCTGCCGCCCAGATCCACTTCCCCGAGTCGACGGGTGGGAAGGGCGTCTGGATGGCGCACGAGTCGTGCGCTGTAGTCCTGCCCGAGACTTGGGTGGACGAGGTTGATGGCGAGCGGCTCGTTTTTGGTGTGGATGGGATCGTACGCGGGCGGTGGAGTTTGGTTTGTCTTCTTCCAACTTTGTTAACTCAATTTTATTAATGGCTTTGCAGAAATGCTCCGCCTGCACGCGCGCGCGCCCTAAAGCGCATGGTGCGCTCATCCAGTGCGCAAAAGGCAAGTGCCCCAAGTCGTTCCACATCAACTGTGCCAAAACCGGTCACGACGCGGGTATTGCGTATACTGTCGTACGCGAGGTCGAAAAGGAGGTGGTTCTGCTGGAGCCTGCCCCGCCGTCTGCCAACGCCTCAGCCCAGGCGGAGCCGAATCTACGCGTGCTCAAGGTGATCAAGAAGACGGAAGTCGAAGCGTTATGCCCCCAACACAATCCAGTGAGATTTATTATTCTCCCGCCTTGACCGCCCGTCTAAACGTATACCAGGTAATCGTTGCCGAGCGTCGCGCCTCCAAACAGTCTGGCCTGCGCGCTGACATTCTTGCCCTCCCGCCCCTTTCACGCGTCAAGATCCGCGTCAGCTCAGGCGTATTCGAGGTCACGCTCATCCGCGTTTTGGAGGACCGCGGTGCGGTCGAGGTCCTCTGGGATAACAGCGAGGTACGAGAGTTTAAGTGGGGGAGCGTCATACTCGGCGCGACGAGTCTCCCCACGATGAGCGTCGCGGACATGCGCAACGTCGCGGCGCCCAATTACGGACGGCCCAAGGCCATCGCGCCTGCCCCAGCACATCAGCCGTACCCGTCTGGGTATTACCAGTATGCTCCCCCTACGGCTGAAACGCAACCGCAGGCACAGAACGACGCCCCGTCATCGTCCGCCCCGCATTACCCGAATGCCACAGCCTCGACCTCGGGCTCGGATCAGTCTCACCAGGTTCAAACACATTCAGCTGGAACGCCGAGCCAGCCCCAGTCGCAAGTCCAGGCTGCAAACCCGTATGGTGTATTCAAGTACGAGTACTGGCCATACCCACCGTACGCGCCTGGCACTGCTGCGGGCACTCAGGCGTCCAACAGCGCTTACGATGCTCAGAGCGCAAACAGTGCGTATACCGCTGCCGCGGCCCAACCCACCGCCGCAGCAGCCCAATCCACCACCCCCGGCGCGGGCCCGAGCCCGGGGCCGAACTCTACCAGTCGCCCTGCGAGTGCCGCGTCACAACAACCAGCAACGCACTATGCAAACCACTACTACCCGACCTCGCACCAGTGGGCGACGCAGTACTACCGCGCGACACCGACACCCGCGTATTACCCGCAGGCGCAATTTCAGGCGCAGGGACAACCGGCCGCACCGCATCCACCGTCGTTGCAGCAGGTGGCGCCTTTCTCAGTGCAGCAGCATAATCCTCCTCCTCCTGCACCGAGTCCCCATCCCACTGTTACTCCTCCTGCACCAAGTCCTACCCCTGCACCGAATCCCAATTATACAGCTGCACCCGCTCCGAAACCTGCTCCAAATTCTACGACTCCTATCTTACCCCCGCATGTGCACGCTTCCGACGCAATGCACGCCGACGTCCAGCCCGTCTCCGCATGACTATAGACCCAGATTCCATCTCCAGTGTCTTTTCGTAGAGCTCTTGCAGTGCGCGCGCTTTTTTGATACAGGCACCCTTTTCCTTATGACTGAATGCTATTATTTGCATGGTATCGATAACTTACGTATACATACCAGCCGTGTAGTTTTAGAATGACTTGAATGAACCGTACCTTCCGCTCTAACTTATTCGATGTAACTACAAATCACTGTAACAGTAGTACGCGTTGCAAGTTCACTAGTTTCCGTCCATTCCATTTCGCGCAAGCCTCAAGATTAATCTCACTTCTTTCCATTCTAAATGACCGAGGCACAAACGACAATATTATATGTACTGAATCCTGAATCCATCCCGATCCACCGTCAACCGATTACACCTACTACAATTCTCTAAGCTTATTCTACGCACGCATCCCAATGTCCACGCAGAATGTAAAATTAATCTAAAGTTTCAAATCGCGGGTCGTCCGATGGTGGTAACCTGCAATGCGCCGCGAGTCAGCGAGAGAGGGAACACAGCAGGGGGGAACGCACCTTGAATCCGATCTTGGTGAGAGCGGCGGCGTCGACGAGCAGACGTCCGTCAAAGACGAAAGCGGGCTTCTTCATGTGCTTGTACACCTCCACCCAGTCAATCTCCTTGAACTCCTTCCACTCGGTCGCGATCACGATCGCCTCAGCGTTCTTGCACGCCTCGAGCGCCGACGGGCAGATCGTGACCTGCTTTTTGACTGCGGAAGAAACATTAGCGGCCAGTAGCGCAAGAGAAGCAAATGCCGTACTGGTGTCGAGGGGAACGGCGGGGCTTGCCTCGCTGAGATCAGCCCAGATCTGCGACTCGGCGACTTGCGGGTCGTAGACGTTGACGAGGGCGCGCTCGGACTGGAAGTCGCGGATGAGGGTGATGGCGGCTGATTCACGGGTGTCGCCGGTGTCCGCTTTGAATGCAAAGCCGAGGACCGCAATGCGCTGCACGACATAAGTACCGGCGCAAAAGAGAAAGTAAGAAGAACTGGACAGACCTTGCCGGTGATGGTGTTGAAGAGGGTGTCGACGACGCGCTTGGAGAAGCGGCGCTTCTGGTACTCGTTCATCTCCACGACCTGCCGCCAGTACGCCGCGACTTCGGGGAGATGCAGGCTCTCGCTGAGGTACACGAGGTT